GATAGAGAGAGCTGCGTTAGAGCGACCCGGCGAGCAGCCCCGGCGGCCAGGGCCGAGCCTCAGAGGGCAGCGCGGCCCCCAGGTGTGGCGGCCTTTCCCCTCCCCTGCACACTCCGAGCCGCCCCTCTCGCCTTCCCCCCGCGCTTTATCTCCTCCTTCTGCCAAGGAAGTGGAGCAACTCCACCTGGCGTGCTAAAAAAAAAAAAAAAAAAAAAAAAAAAAAAGGAAATCAAATAACCCCACAAACCCGAGCTCTGCAGGCGCCGCATGGCAGGAGCAGAGCCCTTGAGATGGTTAAAAACACCCCTCTAAATAATTCAAGTGACCTGAAATGCCTTCCTTTGGGAAAGAGAAGGGGAGGGCTGTGTTGGAGCCGCCAGGCTGGGATCCTGGAGAGAGTGCTTAGATGCAGCTATTAAGCATGCAGTCGTGATGGCTGTAAGCCACGGGCTTTATATACATATATCTATATCTATATATATATATATCTATATATATCTCTGTGTGTGTGTGTGTGTATATATCTCTCTTTTTAATTACAGCTTTGGCAATTACTTCATAACCAGTAAATAGCAGCTCGGAGTGTAGACCCACAGCTGCAGAGCCAGCAGCCATGACCTGGTGAGACCACGGCCCTGGGTGCTGGCAGCCCGGGAGGAACCTCAAGGGAAGTGAAATCCAGAGGAAAAAGGATATGAGTTCCTTCTGTTCTCCAGACACCAAAAATTAAGCTTATTAAGGAGGGGAAATATGTTTTATATTAGTGTTTTACATTAGCCTCGCATATAGAGATATCTATATGGATGGAGAGACTTAGATACAGACATAAAGTACTTCAAAATCTGTATGTATATTTAGAAAATAAGACCTCACCCGTCAGTGTTATGCAGCCATCTCTGGTATGGGATGTAACAGCTGTTTAACATAGAATAGCAACACTACAGTATCAAGGAAGACAAGGGGTTGAGGACTGCCACACAGAGTTAAAATAAAATCACAGATTTAGAGAGACAGCCTTACACAAGCTGAAATGCAATATACAGAAAGATTTCAGTCTCAAACTAGAGACTCAGTTTTACATTTCTTGACAGAAATGGTTTCTCCAACATTGTCATTATATGAATTTTGACTGCATCTTAAATGATGGATTTGAAGAGAAAATCCCCAATTACTAGATCTCTAATACTAATGAGTTAAAAGGCCCTTTGAAGGTTTCTGTCCAAATACTGGCCTAAACTCCTCTTGCTTTGACTGTGAATCATAGTCTGAAGTAAAACAGCTGCGGGGAATAATAGCAAACAGAAAGAAGAATTAGATGGTGTGAAGCAGTTTTTTCCATTTTTAAATGTAATGTTTACATTTGGAGCTGGTGAATATTTGAGGAGTATCATCTTCCCAAACAACTTTCAAGTTTCTTTCAAAACAAAGGCATTGTTTTCCACTTAGAGATTCATTTGTTTAAAATCAGTTAGCAGTGGCACTTTCTGTTGCTTTTGGGAAAATAGTTTCTCCAGGTATTGAATTCTGTCTTTTTCTCATTTTTGTAACATCCCATATCAGTTAACACCAATATTTATAAACATATTCAGTAATTGCAAAAGCTTACGATGCAGACAGAAATATTAATTTTTCACTCCACTTAGACAAATACTTGGATTGTTCATTGTAAGGCTCAAAGCTAGGACTGATACTCTTATGCAATATCAAGACTACTGATAATGAATAGTGATAACTTTTTGATTAAATATTGTATCACAATGATCCCTGAATGAAAGGGCAAACTAAGTATATTACTTAATCATTAAAAACACCATACTTTTTCCACTTCTGCTGATGTTCTTTGCTGTATTTGCTTATAGTTGTGCTCCTATTTTACCTCAGTGTGTGTAATGCATACCAAATCTCTATGTCAAGACAATAACAAATATACAAACATAACTGTGGAAACTAGTGGAATCAGGAAGACAGAGTTGTATTATCAAATATCTTGAACTGGAGAGAGCTGCAGACTCACAAAACGCTTTTCATAGCACAGTGGAAATTTTCCATTTCTATTTGAAGGAGCATTTATTCTTTGGCTAACAGTTTTGGTTAACTGCAACGTGTTTCACTGGTCCTTTGCTTTAGTTAAGTATCAAGGACTTTTACATTTCTTACTACAATAAACCCTTAATGTGTTCAGTTCTTTAAAGTACTTCTATAGTCTGCTAACTTCAGCAGATTCTTTCCTGTTTGTTGATGACAGTGCTGTGCCTCATATACAGTCAAATGTCCCAAGTGAACTCTGGATGAAAAACAAACTCTCTAGCAGTGCCAACAGAATCAGAATGGTCATGCAATTAGGTCAATGCAATTTACGAGTGATGTGGCTCTCCTTTAGGACTTCAACTGTTCAGCACTATTGCTCACCTTGTGTTCTAAAGCCTCAGTGATTTCAGAAAAGTCACTTGTTACTAGTAACAGATTAAAATTACTGTTTCAATTAAAAAAGCACAGCTTATTATTCTTGAAAAGAGCTGTAAATTATTGTAAGAAACAGAATTATTTGCAAAAAGGATATTTCTCAGTGATCTGAACCTGCTCTAAAGGATTGCCATTCTTAAACAAAATAATCAGAATTATTAGTATGTGGAGGAAATTATATCCTGAGAGACACAATCTAATTCCTTTTGAATCTGAGGTAAAATTTGCACTGACTGTAGTAGAAGTCAGATTGTTGTCAAGTGGGCCAAAAGATCATTTATGTTTCCCATTATGTTTCCTACAATCTAATTAGCAGACAAATCAACCAGAACAAGGAAACAAGGAGCCAAAATTTGGCTCCCTCAGTAAGTAGGAGTGATATAATCCTTGCCTTATTAGTATAAATTCTTTTAATAGGTACTGGAACGGTTAAAGGGATTTAAAAGGGTACTTAAAATAGCACATTTTGGCTGTTTGGCTTCATGTGCACTTCTGCAGGAGTAGTAATGTTTGTTTAAGCAGCTCTACCTCAGCTAATTGTTCTCTTTCCTGCCCCACCCATTCTGTTGCATCCATGCAGCTGTTTGTGCAGATGTGAGGCAGAAGATAAACTTTAAAAACACTATTTTCCCTCAGAGGACTGTGTCAGAGGACTGCACAAAAATCTGTGTTGGCTTCTTGGAATGGCTACACAAAATTGAGAATTAATGGCCTTGGGCAGCTTAAACACTGCTGGTGAAAAATTAGAAGATGCAGCCTAAAGCAGCATTTCACATATTTATGGGGAATCTCAGAAATCACAGAAACATTTGAATTTTAAATAATAGGTGAAGAAAACCAGTCAAGGAAAGATAAAGTGCCTTGAATGAGAAGTAAATTAATTTATGCTTGGGACTGTAGAAAAGTCAGAGCCACACAATGAAGGAAACAGACAATCCTCTTTTCAAAATATAGAATATTCCAATTTCTGAGAACTGAAGGAAATATAGTACTACAAAAATTATGTAAAAAAACCCCCAAAAAAACCAAACCAAAACAAAAAACCTTCAAAATTTGGATGATGCAAGTAGCTAGCATGTCTATGGAGTCATTGGTTACTATTCTAGAGAAAAGTCTGTAAAATTCCAAAATTCAAAGGTTAAATTCTATCTTTCTATCTTCCCATTATAATGAGCTTTTTTGGATGGGCCTGGCATAAAACTGGAAGATTCACATCCTGAAAATTCCTCTGGTCTGAGGAGTTCCCACCCATTGTAGAGCCAGTCTAGGCAGCTCTTCCCCTGCTCTGCAGCCTACAAGGCATCAAGGGTGTAGCTGGAAAGAAAATGGGTTTGCACGTTATCTAGCTTTTGGTGTTAAGAAATTCCACCTCCATTCCTTTAATGTCTGGTTCTTAGCTCAGGTTCATGCTCCCTTGCTCTGGTATTTTATACTGTTCAGATAGCACTGAAGCTGTCATCTCTCTGGTCCTTTCAGAGAAGTGAGATATACTGTTCTTTTCTCCAGAGACTGAAGAACTTTTTTCTTTAATCTTTGTGAGCAGTGAAAACTCAACAAATCCTTCTGCTGCCCTTTACCATTCTCAGTTCTATAAAAGAATCTGTGAATCTTAAGATGGCCAAGGACTACTTCCGCTGTTCCAGGTGGAAACATTTAGTCAATTGATATTGAATGGGTTTAGTTTCTCCAAATGTAATATTTTGGCTATTGTTTTGAAAGAGTGTTCATTAGTAGACTATTGCAGCTTCTAAAAGCAGGGCGCTCAAGTATTTTTCCATCTTTGGTATTGTCATACATTGCTATTTATCAACTGTATTTTTTTTTCCTTTCTCCCAGTAAGTATCAGCATTCTTTATACTCAAAGCTTAAATTTCTTACCCTTATATCTTCAAGTACTTCTGGTCTGTACATGTCATCCTAAATGATATGTTGATCCTCCTTTCTGTGACAGGTTTGATAAAATCACCACTTATGTCACTTCGTTGCACTCCTCTCTTTATCTGTGCAAAAAGCTGACAAATGCCAGTGTTTTGCCATAAAGGTGCTGGTCCTTCAGCACCATGAACTGCTAAAATCACTAAATACATTATCTTAAAAGAGACTTGATATAAATTAGATGTTAGTTAAGAGCAGGTGTTATCCTCTGTGGACAAAAAGCCAGCAGGGCTTCTGAAAGACCCTTGTAATTGCAATTGTTCCTATCCTCACTGGTATTTCATGAGGGCAGCCCCAAGTGGCTGATGCTCAGTCTCACCCTCACCTCTGTCTGCTTTAATGTATTCAGTTGTGCAAACTCTTCTTTTCTTTCAAGTGGGTAGGAAAAACCAAACAACTCATGAGCACAAAATCCTAACTCTTGTATCTTTATGGCTTTAGAGGGGACTAGCAATCTTGAACCTCAACTTCTGCAAGTTTCTGAATAAAATTGGATCTGTTGGAACTGGTAGAATTCAGTGCCTCACTTATTCATAGTTACATTTTCATTAGTTTTATTGCTTCCTTTCTGTAAAATTCATGTTCCCCAACTTACTTTCTCGTGTACTTTCTATTGTAAAAGTCAGTTCTCTTTTCAGACCCATATAAATCAAATTACTCTAATGAGGTGAATAGAATTTTACAGTTACAGAATGATGAGTTCAAACCCAGGTCTTTTAAACCAGTAGGTCCCCTTGTAAATTGATGAATGATTTGTCAGTTTCTAGGTCTCCTGAGCTATCCTCTGTTTTCAAGGAAAGTGATATCTTTATATATCAATATCCATCCCCACAAAACTTCATGTCTTCCAATTTTTCTTATCTCCCATATTTGTATTCTCACTATAGGGAAGGGCCCTCAGGCTGCCTGCTGGTGGTGATAATTTCTGTCATAGTTGTTTAATGTATAAACACGTTGCATTAATTTTTAATAAAAAGCAGCTGATAAATGTGCAAGCTTCAAAAGTGTTACTTGTACACTCTTCCTTTCGTTCACTAATTCTGTTATTCCTTCTTCACATTATCCATTTAACTCAGTCTGCCATTACAGCAAGTAAAAGTAAACATTTTATTTTTAATGTGAGCATTATTTAAATAAAATAAAGCATATTTTAGAAGATTAAAATAAATTGTATTTCTTCAACTATGAAAGAAGTCATAGCATTCAGGAAGCACTATTGCTTATGTTTCTTGCTAACCATTATAAAAGGTGAAGTTACACTTTTTAACATTTGGAAATTGATCATCAAGACTTGTATCTGAGCTTTGATTTGCATGTTTATTATTCTCAGTGGTTAATATTATTATTTTTCTCATGGTTAATATTATGATAATATACTGACCACCAGAGACTGCACAATAATAACATATTTTGATTTAAATACCATACATATGATTTGAGGAAATTATTATTTCCATTCTTAATACTAAAAACATATCCTTGTTACTTCAAATGAAAAAAAATAACATCTCTCCTTGTGTATTTTAAAGTAAATCTGTAAGTATTTTGATCTACATGCTCCAATTATAAATTAGATTCTTGGTTTACTACCATTTCCCTTTAAACAGCATCTCAATAATAATGAATTTGTTTTGATTAGCATTTCTAAAGAGCATTTCAAGGTTGCAAGTATCCCTATTACACAGTTGTGGAGAATCCTAACACAGCATGTCAGATCTAAGGCACTGAAATATTTCAGAGCTATCTGTTCATGGGGTAGGTTCTTCCAGCTAATGCTCAGTTTAGATTAGGGATATAGAAGAAATTTGAAAGTAATTTAATAAAAAACGTTTAACTCTTAAAAAAAACCAAAAATCATATAAGAGTTTGAATTCTCTGTTTTTCTATTGCCTACTTTGTAGCTGTTTTCACAGGTCAAAGTCCAGCTGTCCAGTGTAATCACATTTAGATTCTGCCATGACCTGTAAGTCTCTCACTTCTAAGTTTTCTATTGCAATAGAACAGCTGCCTGAAAACTGTTGTGGAATACTGAAATATGTCTTTCATTGAATTATCATTAAACAATATATATTGGATATGGCTTGTCTTGTTATGTTAAATTCTTACTCTAAAACTAGGTCTCTTTCTAGGTAAATCAGAACTGAAAGTTATCAAAGAAAAATATTACATTTGCCCACTGATGAACAATTACCAAGAATTACATGTCCAGAGTAAAAAATGGATATAATTTTATTTTATGAGTCCACTAGTTAATAGTGAATTAGAATAAAGCTCCTGTGGGAACACATTTGACATTCACATGAATAACAGATGAATTCATTAGGATCCCCCACTTATGAAAGAAATGGCAAATGAATTCATAATCATTAAGCATTTAAAAGTAACATTCCCCCAAAAGATAAAACTCTGCATTAAGTACCCAGCTG